ATATTATGCACACTTCTTAAACTGGGCAAGAACTGTGAACACTGGATCTGAAAGCACGAAAATTGGTAACAATGCACAAATCCTTGAACCCAAGATATCCTTGCGTTAGATTATATTTGTAAATAAGAAACCTTCATTGCTGACACTATTAGGTTGGTACAAAAGTTATCTCTGATTTTATCATGTATGTTACAAATGAAGATACTAATGATTATAAAAGTATTAATCTCTGTTAAGGGACCCACCCCTTTTTATACAAGTGGACTCACTTAGTGTGTACTTGTACTGCTTCCGGTGAATACCTGGAAGTGAGAGAGTGAGAGAGAGAGAGGGAGTGAGGTAACCGCTTTGTAGGAGTCACAGTTGCGAGCACGTAGACTCAGAAGGAATCCACTACAATCTCCAAATAACCTCTATTGTTTTTATTGGAGACATTTTGCATGTGACCCATTTTTCAACTACAGAAACTTTTTCAATCCTTTTTAGTTCATGTAGGACTGTCGTATGCCTAAAATTAAATTTCTCACTAAGTACCCTGGCCGTAGTAACAGATTTTGCTGTAACAACTGCTTCCCGATCCTCTGAATCTAATTCTTTTCGATGATCCTTACTTGGCTCAAACTCTACATTAGAATTCCCAGTGTTGAAGTGGGAACCACCCCCTGTAACTTCTTCCACTCAATGTATCGATCCCATAAGCACACTGGATGGGTTTTACTGCTGAATTTGCAGTGACATATTCATGTAATACATTAAGTACAACATGTCTAATGTGTTCTTTAGTTGGGACGGATGTAGGCGCAAGTTCCGAATTATCTTATGAATAATACCCTCATAATCTGAAAGGAAGGAATATCATTGTAGCATTACTAAAGTACATAAAGAGACAATAAATTTTGGTGACCATTTTCACCTCAAAAATCGGGCATAACTTTTGTTCCAACTTTATATCAAGATACGTAAGGACTACACACGGCAATGTGACGATGCAATAGAAAGACGATAAGAACAGATCCTTCCAATATTTGAAGAAAACAACTATATACAAATTTTAAGAAACTAAAAACAAAACAAAAAATACTCATACAAAGGTTGTGAAGAGGACATATAAAAAAAGAAACTGATCTACTCTTAATTGCTACCTAGAATATTACTATGAGCATCCATTTGATCAAGACCAGTACGAGAGAATAACAAATGCTGACTTATTGAAGATAGAGGTAATTTGGCTTAAAATAGTAGAAAGTAGACACGATTGGTTAGGAGAGGATTATCTACTGAGAACTGAGCAAAAACGGCTATGATATATAAAAACTGGAATCTGTCTTAAACGATCAAACGTTTTCTGGGGCCTGGACATTCAAATGGAATACCCAGTCGAGGCCAGGAGACCAGATCTAGTTATTGTAAACCATGAAAAGAGCTGTTGATATGTGGATGCCACAAATTGAAGGAAACAAAAAGTTTGACAAATATCTGTACCTCACAAGAGAAAGGAAAAGAATAATGTAGAACATGAAGATGTCAGTTGGGCTTTATTGTCGCACTTATAACAATTCCAAAGAGCCAAGCCCAAATTTTAGACAAGTTGAAAATCTAAGGATATATCAAGACAACAGTTTTATTAAAATCAATCAGAATATCAGAGAGAAATCTGGAGTATTGAGAGAGTTCCTTACAGTTCATTATGGATGGGAATTGTGAAAAAAGGGACTCATTTTTGAAAGGGGAATCAGTGAAATAGATTCAAAAGAAATTCAAGAGGAGCATACGGTAAAAAAAGAACGTAAAGCATAGCATTGTGAGATTGCAAAAAGATGTCAAGGCAAAGTAACATGGAATTAGTTGAAAATTATGAAGAAGGAACCTAAAAGTAATATAATAGCAGCTCCAGATCAGGATATTAGTACAAAGAACATCAGGAAGCATGACAACAAGGAAGAGACATCATGACTTTATCGATTATGCGGGTAATTCGATGAAACTATGTAGATTAATTGGCCATGGTTAAATGCAATTGGACAAAATGCCCAACAAACGGAATTGACAAAGTTTTCAATAAACAATAACAACAGAAAGAAAAGAACAGGTTAAAGTAATATTAAGTATATATATATATATATATATATATATATATATATATATATATATATATATATATATATATTGTCTGTATATAGTGTGGGTGACAATATATACGCCACCGAAAAAATAAAATTCGGTCGAGCACTTTAGAGGGAAAGCACGAATTTTTAAACAGTGGCTGCTACTGCTGATAATGCAAAGCTCTTCTATGAATCGAGCACTCTGAGTCACTGGCGTATTTATTTAAATATAAATATGTAAAAATTCACTTACCTCAGTGCCGGGAGCTGATAACTTAGAGGAAAAATCTCCGACTGATTCCAAATCAGTCGGATTTGAATCTTGGCTTGAGGCAATTGGATGTTTAGCCACACTGATGATCAGAGATACAGCGAAACAATCTATCTGTTGGATGACAATATTGCTCTGTTACTTACATTGAGCTCTCTTTGGATTAATGTCCTCCTGAATTTATCCCTACCAATTACAAATTGGTACTATATATATATATATATATATATATATATATATATATGAAAATATTAGTGATCAATACACACACACACACACACATTGTAGGTCTGACGAATTGGATCGTGATCACGATTCTAATGTAATAAATTATAACCATGGAATATTAATGCTTTTTATTGGGCCTTTTATATATATATATATATATATATATATATATATATATATATATATATATATATATATATTTTAAAGATATAAATTTAATGATCGAAATAAAAGTATAAAACTTAATATTACGAGACATATTAAAAAAAAAACGGGCGAAGCAACCGGTTTCGATCCTGCTCTTCAGGCTTCAACGGGAGATTTAAAATTAACACAGAAAAATGTACAATAAAAGGAAGTTGTGGAAGGAAAAGAAAAAAATTAGCAAACGGAACTAGAGACAAATGACAGCGAGCCCCAACAAACACTCACGTTGTTTACACAAAGAAGACACAATATATATATATATGCAAGTCAAAGGTCGGCATAGCGATAGCAATAAAGCATAATGTTCTGAAAGTAAAAATGGTGTTAACTGACAAGAAAAAAACAAAAATATAGCCGATGTGTCAGAGAAGGGGGTCTGTCTTATTGGTTAGAAAGAAATCCCAGTGTGAGTGATTTGTATTATAGAAAAATTACTCACGCTGGTGAGGCGAATGTGCTTTGCAGTCATTACTACTGAGGATTGCAACTAACAAACTATAGCACACATTGTAAGTAGACAATTTTAGATCAGAATGTGTATAGGTAATAAAGACATAGTCAAGAAATCAAAATCATCCATTGGAAGTTGTGTGAGAAGTGGTAGATGGTCAGCAAGAAAAGGACTAGTACAACCATAAAGTTGAGAAAGTTCTTGAGTTAAAGAGATGTAAGAGCTTGTGTGATTTTTTTAAATACAAACATATAAGAAGCTAGAGAAGAAGAAACTGGAATATGGTAAGAATAAATAGTAAAAAAAAAAGAGTTAATGATCGATCGTGTCCTTTTGATACAAAGATAGAGAAAAAGGAAGAAGAAAAAGTAATCAACTATGAACCATTGAAGTTTGAACTCACAAGGTTTTGGAAGTTGAAGAAAGTCCCAGTCATAACAATTTATATGGGTGTGCTTAATACAGTGACTAACACAAAGGACATGGAAAAAGAGCATTGCTATTGATTGCCCAGTGAAACATTATGTCTGTCTTCTTCATGTTACTTTTTAAAAATGCAAAGAAGCATAAAGTATTATTATTGACTCAGTTACAATATACATAACTTGAAAAAAACTGACAAAATGTTATTAAACTTCGTTACACACTTTGTATTTTCTTTTCTTTTCTGAAATCTCACTCTTCCGGAAGTGGTACATAATACTGGAAGAATTTCGTTCCGTCGTTTTATTTATTTATTTATTATTATTTTTATTATTATTATTATTATTATTATTATTAAACAAATTTATGTTTAAAAAGGTATACAAGTGTAAAATATATATATATATAAATCTAAAAGTACAAGTATTTGTGACCTCGAATGAAACGCAACCCGTGTGGACGAGATGCAACAGAAACGTGATGTTGCTTTCTGTGCCGTCTCGTCAATCCCACGCTACTATATAAAACGATATCAACGAAAAGGATCATTTACTTTTGGTATTCGTTTTATTACGAGTGGCAGCTTGGATTCCAAGAGACAGTAGGAGGAATAGCATCACAGAAACGCATATCACACTTTGGCTCAGCGTCACCACTCCGCGGGAGGTATTAGCCGTAAACCTAGGTGTGGGAGGCATATCGACGCTTTAGCATTCTTGAGACCCTCTGTTGAACTCGCGCCATTTTGGACTTATATTCAAAACCCAGGCAAAAGCAATCCATCAATGTCAAATTACCCGCCCATGAAGCACTTCGGCCAATCACTGACCATTCTGGCCCTGGATTTCGTATTCTGTAACAGTTAAATGCTGGGAATCAGGTTCATGTTCAGCTAGTAAAAATAATTAATCTGACAGTTTAGTAGAAATCTTATGGAAATCTACTGTCCTTTTGTATATTGCTCCAAAGGGGAACTTTATTAATTTACATATGTAATCATCTTAAAATATTTCACAAATTCTGTTGATGACCCATTGTTGTGTCGGTTGATTATTTGGTTGGCTGATTTGGCTTAGCGGCATAGCAACCTCTCTGGGTTAATTAAGGCCAAAATCTATTGTTTACAATTTTTTTATCTTTTGAAAAATATATTTTTAGTGATACAAATTTTACTAATTAACCCATATCCCGGGGGAAAATGGTATTTGCGCGTAGGTGAATATAACGAATTCAACTGGAATTGTCACTCTGCTTTCTGATTAACAATTCCGAGCCATCATCCGTTACATCACCCGCACATCCAAACTTAGAGAATCTGGTCTTCCCAAGCGGTCACCCATCTAAGTACTGACTAGGTTCAAGGTTGCTTAACTTCGGTGAGCGTACATGGACAGGTGTTTCAAAGTGATGTGGCCGGTCATCATACCTGTGCTCTTTTGTTTCATTTTTCAGTTTTGCAAATCACATAGATCAAGTCATGTTTCGTACATTGGGCGGCATATATCAAATAAGAATCAGGATAATTTCCATCTTTTGAAGGAATCGGTAATATTTCTCTTGGAATTTGAGATGGAATTAACTTGACTCTCGTTGTTGCATAACTAACACGCTTTTCCCCTTCTAGGGCAGCTTTCTAGATTACAACGATCTCAAACGATCTTTTGAGAGTTTGATCGTTCGTATACTTTAAAATTCATCCGATGTTTTTGTTTCATTTAAAAGAAAGGTGATGAACGGGTTGGAAAATATCTCCTTAAATCGTTGATATTTTTATAAAACAAGTTGATATTACTGTTATTAAAGGTCGTTAGATTCAGTATATTTTCAGGATGTTTGTCTTAAGCTGATTGTCGAAAATGTAGTCGTTCATGATAAATTCTTCTGTAACTACTGTTTTGTCGAACATCTTACCTGTAGCTATTAGTTCTTTTAAATGCTTTTTCCCTTCTAGAACAGTTTTCTAGATTACAACGAACGCAAAACACAATGGACTTTTGAATCGTTCGTATGCCTTCAAATTTATCTGATGTTTTTGTTTCGTTGGAAAGAAAAGGGATGGGCGAGTTGTGAAATATCTCCTTAAAACGCGAATATTTTTTGTGACAGAAATAACTTTTGAGTGTGATCGTTTGTATTCATTAAAAGTTTTTGTTTCGTTTGAAAAGTTTCCTTAAAGTATGGATATTTCTTTGAAATATATTGATAGCAGTCAATAAGCACATTCTAAATGCCAATAAAATTTCGCCGCTAGCTGATGACTAAAGGAATTCTGTTAGAATTTTAATTCTACTTTTAGGTGTTTTGATCTGTGTTAAAATTATAACAATCTTTCTTTGCTGCAATTTCATTGGCAATTTATTTCATTCATAACTCGAGATATCCACAGTGGATGTAATGAAATCACTGGCATACTTCCAGTAATCATTAATGTCCATGCAAATTCCTCTCACGCACAAGAACTGCGACTTTGATTTTGATTATATCGTATGATTAGGATAGTCATAACGGCGGTGAAGATAAATTTGTGATGATGTAGGATTTCAAAATAGAACTTCACTCTTGTTTAAACTTTGGGTTTGATCGAAATTGTTCCTTTGCGAAAAAATATCCTAAAATTTTAGAAATTCCAGCAAACGTTTGTTATAAAATAAAATAATACATACCTCGATTGATTTGCAGGCAAATAAACTAACATACTCAAGAGCAAGAGCCGGATGTGAACGGGACAAGGCCCCGTCACAAAATGACCATTATCTTCGTTTACGCATGTTCACGACGTACGAATTCCGGTCGAAAAATAAAATATTTTAAAGTGTTTCTATTTTTCGACCAATAAAAATGCTTCCCTTCTAATTATACTCGCGTCGGTTTTCGAGCCTGTTAAACCATAAACAAGCGCCATAAAAGAGGTCATACGGAAGTACAACGGCAGTCAACAGGAGGCCAGGGAAGAGACCTGTCACGGTCAGGCAGAGCGGTCGGCAACAGTCAGCAGGAGGAGCGCCACACCAACCTGTGAGAACTACTATGAGAGATCAACCCAGATCTTCAGCCGGCCTATGAACTATACCACAAAGAAGCTGTCCCAAACCCACACGTTCCTATTGAAATAAATCACGTAAATCTATTTCTGCTGTTGTCATATTTCTTTCTTGCAACCATACGCTTGTCTATAACACATTCCTGCATCCTTCCCAGATGGAGAAGTTCTGATTTTTGGCCGTTCTGTAATTCGAAAAAGTATTTGTAATGGAAACGTTCGCAAAATTAACAGCCATAAATGTTTCAATTCTGCATCCTTTAATTCGGTGGTAAAACATTTGTCTTCATTGTTGATTTCCAAATCGGACTGTAAAAGTCTACACAGAAAGTTCGACGGTATAGTTTTGTTTTAGCGTTTCTCAAAAACATAGCTGCCAACCCTCAGTCCTTTCGTTGTGATCAATGTTAGGATTATGAGGCGAGACATCTATGGAAATTAAAAAACAATTTTGAAACCATTTTGTTGTTCAGAGAAGCTAGTGATGTCAGGAAAAAAATATTATTAGTAGTAGTAATAGTAGTAGTAGCAGTGATAGTGTTATTGCTGATGCTTTTATTGCTCTACACGCAAGCCTCTAGTGGCCTGATGGCGGGCCACCGATGGCAATACTAGCAGCCCACTGATGGCAGCCTCCGGCGGGCCACCGATAGACCTCTAGCGGTCCGCCAGCGCTAACATTGCCGAGACGAACGTCCCAGTGGCACAACAGTGGGCCACCAGCGGCAAACGCTAATGGCATGCCATCCAGTGCCAGATTGATGGCTTGCGTGTAGAGTAGAATATGTGGACCATCAACGACGATCTTACATTTCCTCTGGAGGCCAATGTACTGATGATTAGGTGGTGCTATGCTGATAACATGAGTATTCATATTTGGGATAAGAATTATCCTGGACAGAAAAGCAAAATCCTGTAACAAGTATGCTAAGAAATAGGACTTGATAAACCATCCATAAACAGAAAGTTTGATGTGGAATTGGAATTAAAGCCATGGTGATACATACACTGAATTCATTTTCAGAATGAGGAAAAACTAAACACTTCAAATCCTCGAATTGCTAGAACATCAAAACATTAACCTGAAAGTTTGAGACATGTTATTAAATTGTCAGATTAAGATTTTCATGTGGATGATATGCCTGGTGCCAGACCCCGTTCAGAAATATCTAAACTACCATCTGTGTACAACCTTTTTCTAAGATCATTGAGTAAAAAGGTTTGAGTGAGTGGATCCTAGGGGACGTGATAAAGACAATCCTTCTTTGAACATTGAGGACTGGAGCTATAAGAATCACAAAGAACATTACCAAATAACAGGAATCACATCACTTGAGAACTACCAACAGCAACTCGGAAAAAATAATGACATAATCAAGATGTTGATATTCCACACCACTTCAAATAAAAGGTTAGGAAGGAAACTCCAATAAGTAATGGAAAGAGCGATAACAACTACTGGGTTTGAAAAACCTATTCTGAAAAATTGTTTTAGGAGAAAGATTGCTGAATCAGTACTGTCTGCTAGGTCAATAAATGCTGAATATTCCTTGTAAGAAATCAGTTAATATTACTATTACTAGCAGCAGCAGCATCAGTAGGATAATAATAATAATAATAATAATAATAATAATAATAATAATAATAATGCAGATGTTGATTGTCTGTATCTGCATAGATCTAAAGGAGGCAGAGGATTAGTTCAACTAGAACTGTCTTACAAAACCACAGCAATTGGTCTTCAAAGATACTTCAAAACTACAGAAGACTGGATGATGATCTGTGTCAAAGAACACAAATGAAAATAAGTGTTATTCAGTAATAAAGGAAGCCAAATTTAAAAGGGCGTTTTACGTGGGTGAAGAAGTGCAAATAAACCATAACGCACCTCTACTGCAGTGGCAAAGAACCTAAAAAGTAAGCAAAAGCAAATGCAATATACAAAATGCAGAGATGATGACAAGATAAGCCTCTCCATGGTCAGTACCCTGTCCGTACCAAACAAACAGATGTAGACAAACCCTGTACTCATCTGTGATCATGTAGTGCAGGGTTAAAAGTGGAAACAGAAGGTTTTATTCTTGCTGCACCAGACCAATGCTTGCTAGATAGAAATTACCAAGCCTACATACTGGAAAAAATATCGAGAAACAATTGACCACCTTGTATGAGTTTGCACGGTGTTAGCACCCACTAAATATAAAACTCAGTATGATAGAGTGGGTCCATGTCTGCACTGGAAAACAGACCACTTTTATGTAAAGAAAACTGCAAGAAACTGGTATGAACATCACCCAAACCTGGTTACAGAGATAGGACCTGTAACAATTTTATGGGACTTTACAATACACACAGGCAGAACAATCAATGCTAATCCCCCAGACATTGTATTCAAAGAACACAAAAACAGAATGTGCCTTCTTATTGACATGGCAGTCCCTGAAGATTGTAATGTATCTTTGATGATCTTCAAAAAAACTATCAATATTCATGGATCTTGAAGAAGAAATCTAAAAAACGTGGCATATTGGGACATCAATAATTCCAATTGTAGCTGGAGCCTTCAGATTGATTAGAAAAGGTTCAGATAGATTCATTGAAAGGATTCTTGGTAGCCCATGCCTTAAAGAAATACAAATAATTGTACTCACAAGTATATCTCACACATTACAAGGACCTTTAGCTATGTAAAATGTATGTGATCTTACGGTTTAAAAAATGATCAGTGGTAAATGTCATGAAGTCATTTCGGACCTTAGGGTTCTGGTTGGAATGAGGAAAGAAATGTGTAAATAAAAAATCCAAGGAAATAATAATAATAATAATAATAAACAATCAAAGATAATCATCAAAATATAGTGGTAGAAAAAACAAGAGAAAAATCCGTTTTCTATTTAGAGTTCCTTCAGACTGTAATGTAGCTTGGAAGATCTTCAAAATCTTATCAAAATACAAGTATCTAGAAGTGGAAAATTCAAGAATGTGGCACATGAAAACATGAATACAAGTTGTGGTTGGAACGAAGGATTTGATAAGAAAAGATTCTGAAAGGCTCATTGAACTTTTCGCTCTCAGACACTGTATTAGGGAAATACAAACAATGTTCTCACTAGCAGAATCACACTATGAAGGGATTTATCTATGTAAAACATGTATACATTTGTAGGTTGTTGCTTTGTTTTTACACAAATGTGCAATGGGAAATATCATGATGCTATTTCTTTGCATAGGTCTCTGGTTGGGACCCGGAAGTAAATGTGCATACAACAGAAATCAAAGGAAATAATAATAATAATAATAATAATAATAATAAAGACAATCTTTAATCGCTTTGCAAGAGATATTACCAATTTAGCTATAATGACTGATTCATGAA